ACAACCAGCGGTCCCTTCGTCGTGAAGTTGAACTTGCGTTGTCTAGAGTCCAATATCCTTCGTTGTGAAGTTTGAAATTGACTCTGAGATTGAGAAGTTGTTTGTTGACAATCAGCCGCCCCTTCGTCATGAAGTTGAGCTTGTGTTGTCTTGGATTCAAGATCCTTCGTTGAGAAGTTGAAATTTACTCTCGAGCAAATTGTGAGTTCGAGAGAAAATTTTCAATCTGTCGAGTTGGTCGAAGTGTAGCTTCTTGCTGCCGGCTAAGCAACCACCCTTCCTTCTTTGAAGGCGCTTGAGAATCGAGTATCCTTCATCCTGAAGTCAAAACTTGACTCTAAAAGCTGCAAAAACGTGTATGCTAACATGATGAATGTGATGCACCTAAGTATGTCTAAGATACATGCAATATGAATGAATTATGTGTTATCTCCTGGATGGAGTCTCGTGCTTTGTCTGTCAATGAGGTCCTTAGAATCGATCGTGCCCCACTATTTTCTCGAGCTTTGGCTTTACAGATCTTTCAAATCTGAGACTACTCTGTTTGAAAATGTTTTTCTCATTTTTCTTGTTTTAGGAGAAAAAATGTTGAAAAATATTGTTGACAATTGACTCAAATTGTAAACGTGAGTTCAAAGAATATCAAAGGAATCAAGAGCTCTTTTAATGCTTTTAGAGTCACATCTCTTTGACAAATGTTTAAATGGATGAGTTGGCCTTAGGTTGGCCTCCTTTCTAAGGTTTTGATAACCCAAAATGTCATGTTTTTAAATATCGCAACATGTTTTGGTATTTCAATTGGGTGCGGACAAAATGAAGCAATTAGCATGATCACTTACTAGACCTTTTATTTCGGTCCTCTGAAATCTTCCATTTGTTCAAGCTTTGTAGGCTCCTCTAACGAAGGCAGTGCAAAAAATATCGGTCTAAAAATGAAATTCTTGAGTGCTCGTGTGAAATTGACTATAACAGGTGTTCCTTAACTCCTTTAGTCCATTTTACCGAAACTTCATGCTTAGATAAATTCGATTTAATTTGCCGTTATCTGGCTAGCTGAATCCATAAAGCCGGGGCGTTTAACCAATTGCTTTAGATGGACAACTTATCATTATAATCATTTTTATCAAGTTAACTGAAGGGTTCATCTCATCACAAAGTCTTCGGCCTGACAAAAGCAGTGGAGCAAACACCGAATTGCCAAGTGTCCGAGCAATGTCATGGTTTGAATGATATCTATTCATAAAGCCAGGGCTTTCAAGTTTCCTCTATAACCAATTGCCTTAGTGGAATAGCTCAGTTTTACGGATTAAATTTCTTAAGATTGGAAAGAAGAAACTGTTATAGTCTAGGTGTTTTGAAAGTTAAGGAATCTCATCTTTAGAGTTCAATTTTTAAGCAACTGACTTACACTAGATTCACTTACTCGACTATTCCATATGTGAAGATCATTATCATCACTGAACGTCTTAAATAAAAAGCATAGTAATTCCATATGCAAATGGATGCCCCATGTTGCCCGCATTTTATGAAAGGAAAAGGTCATAAGAGCAATGTATGATGTTTGAGTGTATATTCTGGGTAAGGTTAAAGTACTTGTTTCAGATCATGTTACTTGTCAAAGATCTGTAACTTTGAACCATTTACAGATTTTCTTAATTCAGATGATGTTAAAAGAATTGCAAGTTTGCAAATGTGATTCATTGCTCGCCATCATTAAAGCAACATAAATTTATTTTAAAGTCCTTGCAAAAACTTGAGAAATAATGAAAAAACAGATTCAAACAGAATGCCTCAAATGATGAAATGATCTTCCTCACTTGGATGCCCCTCAAGTTGTTGAAGTCGATCAGATTCTTGTTACGTATTTTCTGTATGATTCTCTTGATTGTGGAGTAATTCTCGATAGTGCACCGTGGGACTCCGCTGCAATGAGCGTTCTCATCATACTACCTGGGGTACGGGGCTTCATGGACTTCTCTGGATATGGTGACACCACATGTGCGTCGAACAACTGTTGGTAAAGCTCCTTATAGGTCATAGGGTCAAAGTGTTCTCATTTTTTGATGAATCATGTGAAGATAATTAATGTGAATGTAAAGAAATGAACAAAATGCAAAATGTTTAAATGCATGAAGCATGAAATGTCCGAGGCATTGATCCGAAAAATGTGCCTATTATTCTGAATAATCCTTATTGGGGACAAAAATGTTACGTCTGAAGAGACAAAAAACTTTTTGATGGTATAGATCCCGCACAGCCTCTGGCAAGTTGATTTGTCTTCCGCTTCTTCACCGGTTGAATATCCTGTCGAACCGTTCCAGCTTCTTTGGCTAAACTTGTGCGGGTGACGAGTTGCTTGCCCCAAAAAAGGTCTCGAATGACTGCATCTCCGGCCTTCACTCTATGCCGAGCTCGTTCCAAACGAAAGTGTCATTGGAGCCCTCAATCCGAAGTTTGTCGACCTGTTCTTGGAATAATGGTCTCCGGCTTAGCTAGGGTTTCACCATCTTGTTCTCGTAATTTTCGAAAGGACTCTCCGGGTCAGTAACCATTTCCTCGTCTTGCCCCTGCAACTTTTACCTCTGAGTATTCTTTGATCACGGTTGGACTTCTGAGCTTTTTATCTCTTTGTATTATAACCCCTTTGTCCATTAATGCAGATTATTTACGTTTAACAAACACATTTTTTGTGGATCAATACCTCGTTTTAATGATGCGAATGATAAAAAAAATGCCAAAGAATAAAAATGAAAGGAGGAAGAACAAAAAAAAAAGTTAGTGAGATAATGATGATAATAATAAAAAAAATGATGAAAATGAAAAATCTTACCCCACATGATAATCTACCCGAACATGCTTAATATTCCTACACAGACATGATTTCTAACCCGCATGCTAATTTCAAACAAATCCTAGCCGCATATTTGTCTAGTTCGCATGCTTTGAACAGAAAATAAAGTAAGAAATAAAAGCAGCATAGGGTTTGGAATGAGGTTTTGGGGTGGGCCCTAATTCCATGTACTCTCCCGGTTTAGGTTCTAAAAAGGTACTCGAGTTCTCTTTGCTGGTGCCCCCTTGGGCTTGCCAGACCCTTAGTCCTAAGCCCATTATAAGCTTGTGTGGACTAAGTTAAACTCGAGAGGAAACATTTCCTTATGTCTGTGCGGTGAATAAATTCACACGAAGACATAAGGTATATGAATCACGAAGGCTACTGGCTAGCCATATACGGTGAATAAATTCACACGAATGCGTCGCTTTCACCTCCACTTAAAAGGGTTTGGAGCTCGGGTATAGAGCCAAAGATGAAAATTTTGAAAAATCTGAAATCATTGAACAAACGTTAGTACAACTATTTATTTGAAAAATAATCAAAGGTAAATAATTGGAATCGAATAAATAAATTAAAATTTAAATTTACAATTTTCGCATAAAAAGACAACGGAAAATTAATTCTGGCCTGACTCACTTACCTGTCCCCAGTGGAGTCGCCAAGCTGTCACAACCGTCTTTCGGTTGGGCCCCGGAATTGGGCTTCGACTTGGATTAAATGGGTTAGGAGTCGCCACCGATCATTTTAAAACGATATTTAGGTAGATCGGACACCATCTTACTTGATCTGTGCTTTACCAGAAATATGTCGAGTTCGGGAGTCGGTTACGGTAAAGGAATGATTAGCACCCTTGAACCGCCCTTTCGGTACCAATCAATTTGTCGGGTGTCTTAATAGCGAAAATTAAAATTAAAATTAAAAAAATCTAATTCAAATTACTTACCTTTAATTGGTTGAAAGTATTACTGAAAAAGCTAAGAAAGAATGTTAAATTAAAAATAAATAAATAATTAAATAAGAGGAGGAACAGGAAACAAATAAAAGCATCGCTCTTGGTGTACAACATTCCAAAAATGTTAATGGAAACATCACTGCTAATGCAACAATTAATAGCCCAAAGCAAATTGAGCTGGTTCCAATCCCGTTGGTAATCACAATCGGATTTCCTATAATGGTGGAAAGGTGAAAGTTAACCATGCCAAATCTAATGAGGACCAATTATGCAGTCGGGGTCCATAACCTACAAAAGCTCTAACTAAGTTTGTATTGCTTTCAATTCTCAATCCATAATTAATGACAAAGTTACTATTACCATGCAAGAAAATCACGTACATGAAGCCATGCAAACTAGCATTTCCAGTAAAGCCGCTGGAATTGCCTTCCATCTCCAACCGACGCTTCAAAGATTCAACATGTTGTCGTTGCAAGCGGGATTTTCAAAGCTAATGATTCGACGATCAAACGAACGAACGGGCATGGATCCATCGTAAACAACGATGGCAACTGAAAATGAACGCCGATGACAGCGAAGACTATTAAATCCTCGAAGTTGGCTCTAATGGAGGCGGTGTTGAAGACGGTGGTCGGCAATGACGCAGTAACACCATTACCACTGCCTGACCCGGTCGTGATCGCAGGTCATCGCAGCGGTTTTCCCGGTTATCGACTCTCGGGTATACACGAGAGTGAGAACGAAAGCTATGGTGAAGAAGGAAATGAAAGCGAGCAGCCATAGCTTGCTGGAACTTCCTTGTTTTTAAATGTAAGGATGAAGGAGGATTAGCTTGGTATTGCTGGTATTGTTCTTCATTTTCTTTTTCTCTACTCGGTTTTTACTTGAAAATCATTGCCCAGCCATCGTGAAAATTGAGATCGGAGAGAGAGAAGAAAAAGAGAAAATCCCCCTTTTTTATTCGTTTGTGCAGGTCCCCCCGCTGCCTTTGTTTCTGCTTCTCCCTTCTCCTAGGATCAGAACCCCCCCTTGTTTTACCCTGTTGCAGGTACTTATAGGTGAGTTGGGGGGTTGTTTCCACTCAATCCCGAGATCACCGGGATTCAGTTGTTGACGAGGGGTTGTCGCTTGGTGGTTGAGTGTGCCGAGAAATCTGGTGCAAGGGTTGTGAGGAGTCATTGGCGGAAAAACAGGGAGATGGGTGAGAAATTAGTGTCTACAGTCTACATGCCAGGGGAATCTATAAGATTGATGAGGTGCTCAGTCCCTTGTCTATCTCCCTTGTAGTTCTTCAAAGAGTCATCAGACATTTCATAATACAGAGAGATACCAGTAGACTTGATTGTGATACCCCGCTCAGCCTCGTGACCTCGTCAGCACGGGTATCTGTCATACGAACATCACCAGCAACTTCTTGTGCAATAATTCCAGCAGCAGTAACAAGAGAATCAGTAAGAGTCGATTTCCCTGCACATCACAAGAGCTAGATGAGAACTAATGCCGATTCTTTAAAGAGGGCAGACTAATTCGCAACACTCAACAATCATCAAAAACTGAAGAGCTATTGCCGTAAACTGATTGTAAATTCAAGGGTAATTTAGCATAACTTCCATACAGGTATCATCTTCATATTACTATTACTAGCTTGCCAATTAATCTGACAAAGATCACATTTCATTAATAATACGCATCAAAACCAATAAAATAAAGCACAAAATTAGTCAAACAAGCTTTAATCATTTTTAAAGCAGACTTCGGTGATAAACAAACAGGAACTGGAAGAATCTTACCGTGATCCACGTGAGCAATAACAGACATATTACGGATATTGTGACTGCGGTCCATAATGGCCCGAAGCTCCTCAGCAGTAAACTTCACCTGTAACATATCAAACATGAAATCAAATCAAATGGAAATCACAGAAAAAAATAAAAGCCAAACAAAAATACGGTTCAGTCAACTTACCATCTCAGCTTGTCTTTGAAAAAGAATGAAAAAAACCTGCGGAACAAACAAAACACATAAGCTCTCATCTTACAAAAAGCATGCATTCACAGTGCCAACAGAAAACGAATAATCTCAAATACACAAATTCAACCATAAAAATGTGGAATATTTCGAGATCTGAAATCATATTACCTATTTATAGATGCTAAAAGAAACTTTCACCTACATATTTTAGAGCTAAGTAACTACATCATTTACTAGCAAAAAGAATCATATTCTATATGCCATCGAAGAAAGTAAATTCAAAATCAGGATATAAGATCAGAACAATAAGAAATGAACATACATGGATCTAAACGGAAACAGGTCTTAATAAAACGAAAGAGGAAAAGACCGAACCAGAAGGAAAAAGGCGGCAAGCGAGAGAAAGAGACGGAGGTCGTTAAAGCGCTCTCTCTCGAATAGAGGGGCACAACAAAAGTGTGGATATCCGCACCTTATATCACTAAAACTAGGGGAGGCAACGGGGCAGGGAAGGACGGTTTTGCATTACTATTCTATTCCAACACTTACGGGTACGGTTTTAGGAACCATTATATATTTCGGGGATTTTTTTTTATCCCTTACAAATCTCGGGTTTTGATTAATCTCCATCCTAAAAAATTAAATAAATATTTTTAAAATCAATGCAACACTTAAAACTTGTAAGATATATTAGATTGTCTCAAATTGATCTCTATCTATATAATATGAAAACGTCAATATTCATCTAACACCCAATGTATATATGCAATCTTAATCATTTTTAATCTCAACGAATCAACGTATATTAAATGAGAAAATATCTAAACTTCAATTTTAATTCCTTTGAAATCTAACAATGACAACACATAATCTCACAATCTTATCATATTTATATTTTTTATTAAAATATAAAGATTTCGATTATTTCCCATCTTGTCGGTTTGAATCCCCACGATTTTCTGTTTTTCCCCACCCGATTGCCCTAACCGAAACTATTCATTGGATTAATTTACCTTCTTTGAAACTTTTCTATAAGCGTACCACGTTTTTGGGCCACGCTAGGACTACCCACATGAATGCTCGTAAATTAGATAATAATTTGAAGACTACGGAAGAAATCATATTTGTTAAAATCCGAACGTAGCACGTAACTGTATAAACTAACAGGGACAGGTTCCGATTTGAATCTACAAAAGAATCCATTTCGGCATCATGAATAACAGGGAAATATGATTATGTAAAAACCAATCTCCAAATGATCCTGCAAAAGGCTTTGTGAATGGTGAAGGTGCTACTGAATGATGTTAGTTTTACATGGGCGGCTAATCAGCCTTCCTAAGGAGGACGGAAGTCCGAAACTTCGTGTCGTTCCTAATGAAGCTCCACCACAGGTAGGTGAGTGGGATAGTTGTGGCATGCCATATAGCATGGGCATCGAAGAATCCATGATAAGGAGGGAAATCGTAGATCTCCAGAAGCACCGCGAGGCCTCCTCCAATGACCACTACCCAGCACTTCCACCGATAAGGATGGCAAGTAACACCGGCCCAAATCGACCAAATCAGAAGTTGAGCAACCCCCATTACTACACAAACTTTCATGTTCCACCCTGTACAGTGTTTTGTATCATGTTATTCTGCCAGTAATGCAAGAAAATGTTAGTCGAAACAAACTATCGAAGAACAGAGATCTTACCGTAGTCAAAGGTATAAAAGTTGAGATACAATATATGGGTAGTCACAAAGGCGAGAAATGGGGCAGCAACCATTACTCTAGCAGCCTCAACTCTCACATTGAAACATCTTAGTATGGCTAAAATAAGAGAGTACCCAAGCAGCGCCACAGCAGATGAGTAGTCTAACTTTTCTGTCAAATCCACATCACTGCGGTTTCAAACAAATGTGCGAGTCAGAAACAAGGCCATTGTTTGGGCGTACATGCAGTCGCTCACCCGGTGGGGGGAGCTCAGAGTTTCTAAGCATGTGCACGATTTAAGATTAGGCCAACTATGTCAAACATTTTGCAATCTAGACAAAACATCAGTGAATTCATTTTAAAGAAAAAACAACTCCAGCTGCCGGGTAAAAGTACAAATTACATTATTGATTGTTCTGTTTTCCCAGACCCCTATATTATTGGATGTGTTAAGCTAGACATCATAACGAGGATACAATTGTCTAAATATAGGGAACGACTTGCTGAAAGTTGAAACATATCATGTACCGTGACACTTGAATCCAAGCACTTGCAACAAAGAATACAGACCTGAGAAAGGACTGAGAAGCACAACTAGGTTCTATATAGAATGCCAGTTTCTGGATCTGATTTTGGAAAGGCAGTATTGGGCAAGAAGCATCTTATAATTATTCGCTAGTTAGTTTCTCGTCGTTCCCCTTGTTACATTGATATTATGATTTTAAGCAAAAAAAGGATCCTCCCAAACTGACAAATAATCTCAACTCTATGTAGCAGAACAATAATTTCAAAGCCAAAAGTTTGAAGGTATTATATCAAAAGAATCACCTACGCAATTGATGCAAAGTTCCAACCAAACTTATCTTCATGGGAAATAGTGAGAGAAGTGGAGAATGGAAGAAATGATTACCGACTATGGAAAACAGCACTCCAGAGCCATGAGTTCATCGACAAGAGTCCATATATGTGCCACAAACTTGCAAATTCATAGTATGCCTTATTACCTTGTCTTAAAGGCAAGTTATGGTAAAGAAGGATGAAGAAAGATAGCCAACCATGAAAATGCACTGCTAGGTTGAGTGCAGAGAAAGCTACTGAAGCTGGTTCCTGAGCAAATTAACAGTGAGGTCAAGATGGATACTGCAAAAAGAAGACTACAAAATTCCATGAAAACTAAAAAATATGTTTAGCAAACCTGAATTCCAAAAACTCGCTTGAAGGGCCATTTACCGTGATACTTGACGGGTCCATTACCAACTGCTTCTCTTTCTTTCTCTCTATCAACCATGCAATTGTAACGACAATCACTTTGGCAATCCCATTGTTTCCACTTCAAGTAGAGTGGTTCTTGCACATACCATGGACCATCATTGGCAACACCATCAGACGGAAATTTGCACTGTGGAAAGCATCTTACCCCAACACATCCAGTTTTCTCACATTCTGCCATACAAGCCCTAAAATAAAAAGCAATCTATGTTTGTAAATGCATATTTTCAATGTGTATATTACTCTTGATCAAACAATCAGAATCAACCGCAATGAGCTCCCTTATACATAAAGTACCTTTACCTTACAGTAAAACTTTCACACTATGAAGCACATAACAAGAAACATCGAAACTCCCTATCTTACACATAATCAATATGAAGCACACACACATAAAGGGTGCAAAGACTAATTTCCGGGACTTGCATCAACAACATATAAAAAGCTAGTTACAGTCGGCGGAGACTCCTACTAGTTAACCAAATGAATGGTAAAACGATTATTTCTAATGAAAAGACTTCTTCCAATCTAAGATCTAAGTAATATTCATTACTTTTGCAGTAGGCAATGTATGTTCCAAACTTTACGAGACTTGATAAACTCTCAAGATCCTTCATCATCCTTACAGAAAATCAATAACTAAGTTTTTTTATTGAAACGAACACTAAGTAATAACAATTCCCTCAGCGTATTGGAAAAATGAAATCTTTTTCCTACCATGAACAAATTTATATGAAGCATAAGCTAAAATTAGAACAATAATAGTATAATATGATCAAACGAACAAAAAAGGGGAAGTTAATATAAGAAGGAAAAAACCCCGAAAAACCTGTAAAGTGGATCGGCATCACCAGCACTGGCATTCAAGGCGCCAACAAGAAACGAAGAAGCCAGAAACAAAGCTATTAAATAACGATCTATCACCATCTGATTGGAAAAGTGGGAGTAGCAAAGATGTCAGAAACCAAACGAAACCCAGCAAACGGAGTATAAAACTGTTGATGGGAAAGTTCGAAATCTGAGTAATTTTGGTTCTGAAGAAAAGAAAAGAAAGTAGTGACGGATCAAAGAGGACGAAACATATGAAGAATGTGAATGAAAAGAGAGCAAATTGTTTGCCTTTTTGGTTGGAAAATCCAGTTGGGCAGCCTGGGAATTTTGCAAGGCTGGATTATAATAAAAGAAAGAACTTGAGAAACTATGGTCGATAGCCTGCAGGCTGCAGCTGACATCTTTGGACTTTCCAGATAGGCTTCGGCCATGGTATGAGCTTTTGTTGGATTTCATTGGTTATGATTGTTGGCTTCTTTTAGCTTAATTGGGCCATTCAAAACAAGCTAGACCAGTGAGATTCAATGGACTTCCTCTAAACTAAAACGCAAATCAATCATAATTTAACTAAGGTCTGACTTCACACATCAAGTGGGTTTATTTTACATGAAATATACAAGGCATATGCAATAAGTGTAATCACATACATGATGCATCAACAAACCTCTCCATCAAATTGTAAACAGGACGAGGACTCTGTTTTTTTATTATTATTCAACACGCCATCCTTTAAGCTTTGATATGATACAAAGGTAAACGACAACCGATGAAGCATTTAATCAATTAATCTTTGCAAAGGCAAGTGACTTCTTGCCATCGAGTGCATTTCCAAAAACCTTGTTCAGATAATCAACAAACACTAATTCTCTATAAACAGCCATCCCATCTTCCTCCACAACTTGAGGCAAAGGTGCAATCTTTGTTGTCTCTATTGGCATCGTAATGATCGATAGTGACACCCTCGAATTTGTGCTTGAGGTACGAACGCCATGCTCTGCACTTTTGTGCTTTCCATTGCTTAGTATCTGCAAACAACACAGGGATTATAAACCTACATTAATAGAGTTGTTTAAATTCTCCAAGGGTATCGAGATTACCTCGAACATATCTCCAACATTGATGACCAACGCACCGGGAATAGGAAAGAACTCTATACACTCTCCTTTCTTTCCGAATTTCGTATCTTCCTCGATTTCAACATATAAGCCGCATAATTTCGTCTTGTAACAACACTGTAAGAGTACCTATATCGGAGTGATGTCCTACTCCGACCGTTAGATCCGGATCAGGACATGTCGGATAGAGGATCATACTAAGCATCTTCTTGTCGGTAAGTACATCAACCATTGAGTCATCCGGTTCCACCCCTAAACTTCCAACAAAACTTGAAGCAATTTATTCACCATGATGATTGATGACCTCAAGTACTCAAGTAACACCCCTCTAGAAATTAGTGAAAGATGGTCAAGTGGATTTTGGAAAAAGCATATTAAAAACCAGAAATTAATTTATATAAACCTCACTTGATCTCTGCAGGCCAATGTCGAAGAGCTTTATCTTTTATCGGTGTAATGAACGAGGATATAGTCTTTCTATCCTAATGATTTCTCTTTCTCCTGCCTAAAGATGGTGTCGTACCGCACCAGTGGAGTTGGGCTCACCAATTCAAGATAAACATCCTTCGTTGAAGGAACAAGCTGAAGAATTCATGTTCAGTGTCTTTATGGGATTGAAGTAGATGAAGAGGGACTCCATGGTTAACAACTTAGAAGAAACCCAGAGTTACTGCAGCTGTAACGATTTGCTTGGAGACTTCATCGTGGCCATGGCCGTCAAGCTTCGACAGATCGATGGGTGGCAGAGGAGCTTTGTCATGCCAGTACCAGAACTCGTCGATGTACTGGACCTGAAACAAACTAACTGCTTCAACTGATCAGCTGCAGTGAACCAATCCTCAACTGCACAACCATCATGCACAACAGTTGCACGTGTACTTATATGCCATGCATTTACATACACTAACATTCCCCTTGCAATCTTCAACTTCAAACCTTCTTCAAACTCAAGAAGCACAAACATGATCAATGCTCATTCAAACCCAAAATGAAATGAAAGTTCATTTATACTAACACTCCTCTTGCAATCTTCAACTTCAAACCTTCTTCAAACTCAAAACTGACATGCTCTTAAGTTGCACCACCAGCAACTGTTGTCTGTGTTTGAGAAACAAATGTGATGATAAAGGCTTGGTCAACACATCAGCAACCTGCTCGATTACAGGAACTTCATGCACTTGGAGCTGTCCCATAGCCACCATTTCTCGGACAAAAAACAAGTCCAGCTCAATATGTTTGAACTTGGAATGCAGTACGGGATTAGCACATACAACAACTGCACTTGTATTATCACACCACAATGTGGCCTTGCCATGTGAAACTACATGCAATTCCCCCAACAAAGATCGAAGCCACACCATCTCAGCAGCTGCACAAGCCACACTTCTGTATGCCTCAGCAGTTGAACGTGCAACAACCTGTTACTTTCGAGAGCTCCACGAGACCAGGTTCCCACAGAAAAATATACAGAACCCTGAGGTTGACCGTCTATCATCAACATCTGAGCCCTAATTCGTATCTGCAAAACCAGTCAAAGCCATTCTTGAAGAGGGTGTAAAACGCAGTCCAAAGTCAACAGTACCTTGTAGGTAACGAAGTATTCGCTTGACTGCCAGAAAATGAACATCCAGTGGAGCTTGCATGAATTGACACGCCCTATTCACAGCAAACGCCACATCAAGTCGAGTGATCACAATGTACTGCAGGGCACCTACGATGCTTCTGTATCGTGCATCATCTTCAAGTGGTGTTCATTCCTTGGCAGACAGCTTTATATTAGAGACCATAGGGATGGGCAGACTTTTCACTTCACCAAAACCATGCTTCTGTAAAAGGTCTTGAATATACTTTTTTGACTCAAAACAACATCACAACCTTCATAACTGACTTCCACTCCTAGGAAAAAATGCAATGGTCCAAGATCCTTCAACAAAAACTGAGCATTCAGTCTGTCTATAACATTTTGAACAACCACCTCTTTATCCCCTGTTAAGATGACATCATCAACGTACACCAGTAAGTACACCAAGCTATCCGAGGTCTTTCGAACATAAAGAGAGGCATCCGACTTAGCTAGGCAAAAACCTTCAGATTGCAGGTATGCCTTCAGTCGATCAAACCAGGCCCTCGGTGCTTGTTTCAGCCCATAAATCGCCTTGTGTAGCTTACATACCAGCTCACAATTGCCTTGCTCATACCCTGGTGGTTGAGACATATACACTTCTTCAGTGAGCATCCCGTTCAAAAAAGCATTATTGACATCAACTTGTCTCAGCTTCCACCCTCGTGACAATGCCAAGGAAATAATTACCCTGATCGTTGCAGACTTAACCACCAGGCTGAAGACTTCATCAAAATCAATCCCTGGTTTTTGAAGAAAACCTTTCGCCACCAAGCGTGCTTTATACCTTGAAATCGAGCCATTAGCATTTCTCTTTATACGAAATATCCATTTACAGTTTACTGCCTTCCTATCTCTAGGAAGAGGAACTAGTGTCCACGTGCCATTCCTTACCAGTGCATCATACTCTGCTTGTGCAGCTTCTTTCCAAAGAGGACTCATCAAGGCCTCTGTTATATTTGTCGGTTCTCGATCTGAACTTGCAACGTTATAAACTTTTGACTTCCAGATTCCATGCTTACTCCTGGTCATCATGGGATGCACATTGGAGACTGGTTGTGGAACATCAATCTCCACTCTGGGTTGAACTTCAACACTAGTCTCTTGAACCCCACGTGAGCTGTCACCATGATTGTTATTACCAGGACAAATATCACCGTGATTCTCTTCTTGGACCCCATGTGAGCTGCTATTTCCACTACTCCCATATGCATCAGATTCATGCATATTATAATGGTCGGTTAAAAGCACATTACCACTATTATTTAAAATAGTCGCACCACTATCTTCTTCTTGGACCACACCATGTGCATCATTTAACTCTTGGACCCATGCATTTGAAGTGTCAACACGGGTGGGCACCACGCCAAGAGGAGATTCATGGGCATTAATAATTAATTCTTCAATGTCAGTGGGCGCATCAATGTTGATCTCTTGGACATTTGTGGGAACCATGTCATGTGCACCACTCCTCCTATTATAAACAATTGCTACACTATTTCTTTGGACCTCATGCGCATCACGAGAACCTCCTTGGAGCCCATACGCACCATTGTTTATTCTAGGCGCATTATCATTGTTTAAGTTTGTCGCACCTTTGTCCCCATGTGAGCCACTATCACTTTCAATATTTAAGTCTTGCGCATTATTGTTTAACGCCGCACCTTCAACAATTTCATCTCTATTTTGAGTGCTTGGACAATGCGCATTAGCTCTATTATCACGGGCGGCCCCATTGCTTGGACTTTGCGCACCATTATGTGCATTATTGTGAACGGCTATTAATTCAAACGGTGTGGTCCCATGTTCATGAGCATTGTCTCGTATAGCTCCAAACGATGCAGAAGATAAAGTGAATCCAACCCCATGCGCATTATGATGATTTCCAAGCAGTGTGGCTCCACACTTATTATAGAATATATACAATTGTCCAGTAGTGACAATTTATTGTCTATGGCAGTTGCACACAAGTTGCTTCTTATCAAAAGGAAATATCTGCTCGTCAAACCTCACATGTCGAGATACAAAGACTCTGTCATTATTGTTTAGACATTTATACCCATGATGTGAGGTGCTGGTCCCGAGAAACACACACTGCCTTGACCGAAAATCCAATTTATGTTGATTAAACGGTCTCAAGAAGGGAAAGCAAGCACACCCAAACACTCTCATTCCCGAGTAGTCAAGAGCTTTCTGATAGAGAACCTCAAACGGGGTCTTGCCTAAAATGACCTCAGATAGGAGCATGTTTATGATATACACTGTCATGGTAAAGGCATAACTCCAGAACTTTATTGGCGGTGATGCTTGAGCTAACATGGCTAGTCCCATCTCAACAATGTGGCGATGTTTGCGTTTAGCCTTCCCATTCTACTCTGACGTGATGGGACAAGAGATTCGATGTTGTACTCCATTGGTAAAAAACCAACTCTTCAGAGCCTGATACTCACCTTCACCATCACTCTGCAATGCTTTGATTTTCTTCCAAAATTGAACCTCGGC